TTTTCTTTTCTTCTTTTCTTTCTTTTATTTTCTTTTCTTCTTCTTTTCTTTTTTCTTTTCTTTTTTCTTTTCTTTTCTTTTTTCTTTTCTTTTTTCTTTTCTTTTCTTTTTTCTTTTCTTTTTTCTTTTCTTTTTTCTTTTCTTTTTTCTTTTCTTATTCTTCCGATTAGAGAAAACTACGGTTATAAAAATGGTGCAGGTCTGATCTTCATTCAATCAAATTTTAAAATTTTTTGGAGTGTTCCTACAACTACAATATTGAAGGTGGTCTTTTTTTTTTTTTCTCCCCTTCCTGAAAGAAATGCATTCGTCAAAATAAGAACTTCAAATAATTTCGTGTAACCTTTTTTTTAAAACCTGAGTTACTGTCCTACTTTCTTTTTAGTCATGAAGGTTGTTCATGAACCTGAGCAATTTAGTGTAGAAAATAGACTCGTAGCTTAATAAACCTAAGTAAGTGAATTCAAATCACAGTGTGAGTAAAAAGTTCATGGGTTCAAGTAGATTTTAGTATTAGATAAGCGTTACAAATAATGTGCGAAAGTATATGTGTTGTTTGCACCACTAGTTTTGTTTCTTTTTCTCTTTCTTTTTGTTCAGGTCAGTGATATAATATTACTTTGTTCCATTGTTGGCAGGTAGACTATTGTGATATAAATTGTTGTTGTGATGAAGATTGTTCGGCTAGTGACAGGCAAGCTTTCAGCCATTGTTTCAAAAGACCATCCATTGCTGCAGATCCCAGATATTGTTATCAAACAAATTTTGTGTACCGCAATAACACTGAATACAAAATGGTTCAAAATAAAGAGGGTATGTTCTGTATTCTTTGGGACAACTTGCCTTCAGAAACACGTTTTCTAAAAAGAAAGGTAAGTTGCATTGGTTGTTGTTATGTAGAAAGATGTAAAGATATAAGTGAAAAATTTATATTTTATTATAGTTAAGACAAGGGGTGGATTTTGAAGACCAAAAATAATCAATAAAATGCTCTTAGTAAGCTTTAAAAATGCCCCAAAAACAAAGAAAAATGAAAAATAAAATAATATCAAAACTACTTCTGATGAACAACTCATGCTGTTGGGTATGTTACTGATGTAATTGAGGGTTCTTCCTTTGGTTCACGTGAATTCAGCTTGCAAACTTTTGGTGTGGACTGTTCTTTAAATAGAAAATCTCTGCTTTCATTTATACACACACACACACATTGTGTGGGGGTGTGGGTGTGTGGGGGTGGTGTGGGGGTGTGTGTGGGTGTGGGTGTGTGTGGGGTGTGTGGTGTGTGTGTGGGG